TTTCATGTTTTGTAAAATGTGATAACACACTATAGGCTGATTGTGTCCTATGTGCTCCTCCAGACAGCGGGCAGAGAGCGAGTTCAGCTTTCAGATCAAAATAATAATGGCCATGAGAAACCTAGTGACAGTCACCGCTGTAGCAGGCTACAGCAGGTCAGCTGAGTTCAATACAGTTAGCCAAACCTCTTGTAAATGGGCCGTGGTAGTCAGTCTTTACTGCATCCTCTAGTGTGTGTGTGTGTGTTAAGATTAGAATTTTAAAGATCTGCCTTTGGCTGTGGTCTCCCACATTTGTAAAATCATTTAAGATTTGAAAATCCTCGTGTGTAAAAGCCCTAGCAGAACAAGTATTTCACAGCTAGACACACACACTGACTTTTTAATCGTATCCCTATGTGTTTCAGTTCTCTCTCAAGTTCAAATAAGAAAAGTATCCTCACTGATAAACATCTTCCTAAGTTTAGTGTCTTTGAGGTGCTGCTGTAATGATAGTGATTCATTTGTTTTAACCAGATAATATTCATAAGTGAGGCTAATCTGTGCACTAACCGCTGACTCATGCGAGCCCAGTGCTTTTCAGATCCTGTTTAAAAGGCTGGATCAAACCAAAGTATTAAGCCTCCACTGTGTATATAAGCTTTTGGATAAAGACATGCTTCATTGTTAGTTTAGCAGCTTTTCACTGTATAAAATCTGACAGATGAATATCAAATGGCAGTTGCTCCTCAGATCAGTAATGGTTTTTTCTTCTGTCATCGCTGTACAGGAGCAAACAAAAAATGCTCAGTTCATCATCATCTCCCTGAGGAACAACATGTTTGAGATTGCTGATCGTCTGATTGGCATCTACAAGACTCACAACACCACCAAAAGTGTGGGAATCAATCCCAAAACCATTGTGCTCAAAGAGCACCAGGCTGTTAGTGCATAAACCTGAAGAATGTTTTCATTTTTACTCATGATGTAAATATTTTGTATTTTTTTAAATGGTCCTTCAATGAAATGCTGCTATTCTTTTACTAAATCAATAAAGTTTCAAATCCATTGTCCCTAGTGTAGTCACTCACATGTAAAACTAAAATTAAAAGTTAATACATTTTGACCAAGTAGTTTCGACACTTAAAGCTGCATTAACTAAGATTTAGCATAAAGTAAAAAAGTGGCTAGAAGTCTTTTCTCCATTTTATCTTTTGTAAACTAGACTAGTGAAAAAATGAGTCAAACAGACGGTGCACAGCTGCACTGGTAGTGTTGTGCTCAGACCTTTTTTTACACTACAGACAACTGTAGCATCTCACACTTGTCTTTCTGGACATTACAAGTACTACACAAAGTTTCTGAACAAATTTACTGTACATTTTTTAAACAGGAATTAGGATGGAATTTATAAAAGTAGAAGCAGTACAACAGGTCTGGGTACCAGCCTCTGTTAAAATGTTCAGTGATGCCTACAGTTGTAAGGCTCCAGTTTACATTATAGCTATTAGACATGATTGACAAATACTAAAGCTGGTGTTTGAGTAACAGTCTGCCCTGCCAATGTCTGCTTAAGCTAAATATTTCTAGTGAAGCTTTTTCCAAAGGCTGTACTTTTTTTTTTTTAACACATATCAGTGCACTGCTCTAAGCGAGACATGTTGGTCCTGATAGAATCACCAGTCCACTACAATAAGGCTGTAAAGTGGGGGTGAGGTAAAGGCATGATGGGTGAAAGGCACAGTAAGAGCATCACTGCAACATGATCTGTGGAGGCTATAAGGCCGCCGCACTGTCTGATTCTACGCTGCAGGATCTACATGACACTGCTGCTCCAGTCAGTGGTGTGCAAGATACACATTGCTGAGCTCTGTCTCATGGGAAAGCTATTGAGATGTCCCACTGGATGATGGGAAATGTTATAACAGTCTCTAGGCACCATTTATAACAGAGGCATAAGGATTTTCAATTAGTGTGTGACATGAAAAATGCTTGTTAAGCAATATAACCATCAGGACCTGGCAAAATACACCTTAAAGATCAACACAACACCTGACAATAATGCAGTTCAATCTACAAAAAGATATACAGCTACATATACTACAGAAGGATTCTACAGGATTTGACAAAACTACTAGAATTTCCTGTGCAGGTTTCAAGCACAGAAATGACTCGCATCACATGCTTTGCCCAGGTTTGCAATAGGACCCCTGGGGAGCTCTGAGATTATGCTAAAATGTAAAATCCAGCCTTAAGTTTACATTAGCATCTACGTGTGCTGGCTAATAGATCAGTTTTTTTTTTTAAACTAAATCAGCCCAGAATAGTTAGTGTACTAGTGCTTGTTACTGTTAATGCATTTCAGCACTAAATCTAAGCACAAAGGAGCGAGGTGCTCCACTCCGTTTTCTCTGTCACCATGTGGGTTCAGTGTGGACCCGAAGATAAAAAGAAAACCTTGTTTCATTTTGAAACTGGCAACATATTCTCGGTGTGGAAGGGTCCAGCTCCAGAATGAGAAGGAATATTTGATGGACTTCTTCCTGCTAATGCAGGAATGGGGAGGTGAGAATTTCTCAGCTTCTAAACAGAAGATGAGGGTTCAAGGTTCCTGTTGAGGCTGTTTCAGTGAGATGTCAGAGTTTTAAACCAGGCGGCCAGTTGCTTGAATGCTTTTTCACCTACTGAGGAGAGTTGTGAGCTCCATCTATCTACAGCAGCCTGCATCACTGTGTATGCCAAGCCTGCCGTGTCCCAGACACATGTGATGAGTTCACTGCTCAAGCCGTGGACTAACTGGCTGACCCGAGACAGGAGAGAGAAGCCCAGCGATGCCCCACCAACTGGGTTCACCCACAGCAGTGCCAACAGCAGCAGCAGCAGCAGCCCCAGTAGCACCACAGAAGAAGTGGGCTGCAGCTCACACCACAGGTCCTGCACCCCGCTGTCAGACTGATCTCCTCCAGCCTTAGTCTCCACACTGCCACATCTGGCGCAGCAGCACACCTTGGGAACAGGTGCTTCCTCCAGGCTCCCAATGGTCACAGAGGCCCATTGCTGCTGAAGGTACTCTGCTGCCCGTGGGGTGATGGAGAGGTTTGTCACCGAGGGTAGAGGGGTTTTAATAAACTCCTCCATCCGCTCTCTGAACAAATGCAACTTCTCCAGAAAGATCAGCGGTGAATCCTCCTCTTCTACTGATGAACCCAAGGACACCAGATCCAGCTGTTCTTCCTATAGGAAACACAGCCGTCATCAGAACTAGGGTACGGCAATACTGCTCAAACTACAAGTTGATTAATCAGTGAACTGACAATCCAATCAATGTCATTTCTCCAACAAAATTAGCAAAAAACAAGTTATTCCAGCTTATTGTGAGGATTTGCTGCTTTTCTGTTTACTATTACAAAATGAATATTTGAGGGTTTTAGATTTAACATGATGTGCATTAACAGTACTTAAAAATGATGTTCGCTTGACAGTTTATAGGCTAAACAGTAACAAAGGTAATCATTACTTAACATAAAGTATTATAACCACAATTAAATGTCCCAGACCAATTTTCAAGAACATCAATGCAGTGTTCACATCAGATGGGAGTTGCTGTCCTTGCTAGTTTCCAGCCTGTAAAGTGTTAATGCCAACATCTGAGTTGTGATTACAGCAGAGAAACCCACATTCAGAAGCTGTGATATAACTAACATGGTAATAACATTTAGAGCTGCCTGAGAACCAAACAAGGATGCCTCACATTTACCAAAGTCAAATCACTGAATGTAGTTACCAGTTCTTTGTCTATATTACTAAAGTGTCAATGCACAGAATTTGCAACTCTGCAAACATGCAGCTATTCTGAATCTTTCCCACCTCTAACATATGGCCTAAGTTTAATTTTAGTGAGAGAAACTTCTCAAACTTCTTTGGTGTCCATCCATGAATTGTAGATTGGTTTGCTTTTGATACTTGACTTGGCTCCTGCACTTCGTACTACACACTGTGGGGCAGTGAGATGCCACCAGCATCTTAAATAAAACAAGTGGGATCTGGTTCAAAAACTCCCATAACAATCATTTCCTGTGATTAACTTTTCCATGCTAAAATGTCTAGTTTACACTCAAAAGATGGAAGACAGTCATTAAATGTGTGACACTGACAATGCTGATGTAAATCAGCCCTGAAACACACCTGCAGCTCCTTCACTCTGTGGATGAGTGGGTCATAGGCCTGCAGCACCTCTGCACCTGCTTTATCCAGAGCCTCCAGGCAGGCTTGTCTCTTCCTGGCCAACACCGCCTCCAGCGTCTGAAAGAACTGATTAACTTCCTGTCGGTCCTGCCTCACCAGGCTCTCACAGCGGGCCCTCTCCTGCTCCAGCTGCTCCCCCAGCTCACACACCTAGCAGAGGGAGAACCGTTGCATTTATACTGTACATTGTTTCCCTATATCAGTCGCAATAAAATGAACACACCATATTATCTTTCCATGTGACTTTGCCTATGGCTTTACTGGGAGGACTCCCTCACCTGTGCCCATCTGTGCTCAGAGAGCCTGGCCAGCAGCAGCGATGGGGTCTGTTTTTCTCTGATGAAAGCTGCCTGCAGGTCATCTATGGGGTGGCCCTGGTGCTGCCCCACAGTCAGACACAGCCCACAGATCAGCTCTCGGTCCTGGATGCAGTACATGTTCAGAGGCTGCCTGTGGTGCTCCTGACAAGAGGGGGGTCGTGGCTCACTGTCCCTCTGGTACTGAGGCAGTGAACAGACAGAAGACAGGTGAAAGTTGGTGAAATGACAAAGTGAAACAGCAGAATAGTGACAGCCAGTAAGCTGACCTCTGACTGGTAGGTAGTCAAAGGGTAAATGTTGCAGCTGAACACAAGTAATTCTCCTACTTTCTCGATGATGGCCCGTAGAGATACATTGGTAGGCAGAGCGTCAATGCCCGTCGGAGGCAGCTCCATCACACTGCGACAGTTGGGGCATTTTATCGGCATGCGGAGAGGACGCCAGATGGAATAGTTGGTGGACACCTGGACCAAGTTGTCCAGGCAGGTCTTACAGAATGTGTGTGAGCAAGGCAGGACTCGTGGGTCAGAAAACAGAGAGTAGCACACGGAGCATGTCAGGTCCTCCTCTAGGTTGTCCATGGTGGAGACGGGGGGCCCAGGTTTAGGACTGAGAAGATCGGAATGCACAACAGGATTGATGCAAAGCTACGTGTTGCACCTTTTCAGCAAACAAATGTAAAGTCAACATAACATGATGGCTACTTAAAAAAAAAAGGACAATTTGATTAAGATTAGAACAAAGTTGAGGGTCAGTCACTCAATGGGAAACTGATCCATCTTCTCAAAACGTGAAACCCTTGACTACATTTTAAAATATCTGTGAGGGCCTTTATACAGGAAGCTTAGAACAACACTAAGGCTTTACAAGAGCTACAGATAGCCCGATCATCTTGAGTTGGTTTGTTTTTCTTCCCATTTCCAAATATGAAAGGGGCAGAATATCAGAAACATCTCATTATAATACAGTAATACAACCAGACTTGGCTGAAGTATTTTACTGAGTGTACATTGGGTGCTTTCCTATAAATGTTAAACTAGTAGGAGAGGCCTCAACCAGCATGTAGAGCAGATTGTGAACTGAAAAACAAGGGAACAGGCAAACAAACGACTCCGCTCCTATTACAGGATCACTTGTGAGTGCTAGGACTCTCTCCCCTAGTTACTCCCAGCACAGCAGCGGCAACAGGAGGCCTTTTGCCAGGATCCACCCAGTCCCAGCACACATACAGTCACACACTGTTCTCGGGGTCAGGCTGTTCCTCTGTGCAAACGTCCCCAAAACATGGTCCACACATGGAGTCAAACTGCAGCCGACTTGGCGCCCAGATTCAAATAGTTAACTAGTGTTCGAACAGTCAAGTTAAATCTAGCCATATCCGTATACGTAATATGGTTAAATAACTACAATTAAAACTGACCCGACTTATTTTTGGCACTTTAACGTTGCTATAAAATGTGAAATACTCACGCAAATACTTTATCCGGTCATGTTACATGCAGGTCATCTTAACGGCCATTCG